AAGCGGTTGTTTCGCTCTTAACTTTGCGCAAATCCCTCTTGGTTTTTCTCTTTTGAAAGTAAGACGTATTTCCATATGTCCATAGAAGCTTTCCTGACAGTTCAGCATGCTCTTTGGGATGTCTTATTCCTGTTGGGTGACAGGTGAAATCGGCTGCTTTGTTTATTAAGTGCACGTGACACCGTGTAAAACATACTTAATATCCTCAACCACTGCACAGGTGTTTTTGTGCCGAAAGGAGACTCCAAGTTTTGCCGATCTGACCAGCCTTGTGTTCTCTCCCATTTGGAAAGCCAAGAACTCCCATTGCTGATAAACACGTTATTGCACGGCTCCAGTGTTATTCTTAGAAACAAACAGTTTTCAGCCTTCTCCAAAGAGGAGCACTTGAAAATAAAACGATTCTGTAAGAATTAATGCTGACACGTTCCCTGTTTGGGGCCTGCTTTAGGTTTTTTGGGAAAAGGCTTTCCATGACAAAAGCGGGGTGTTTTGTTGGTGTCTCAATATTTTATTCCTCACCATGTTTTACACATGCTATTTCCATTCCCATAAAACTAAGTAGCAAACAAATATATATCGGTAGCATTTTTAGATTTCAGTTCTTATTCCTTCCCATCAATTTGGCTGAAAACAGGTATTTGCAAACACTGGTAGCCTAATTTCTCATGGCCTTTCATTTTTTATGAAGTGTTTTCAAAAGACTTCAATCAACCTTAATGGTGCGTTTTTAGTTAAGGAAACAGAATGGAGAGAAGTCAATTTAAGCTCCCCAATGAACAAGTGTGTACAGAAAAAAAGGCACAAATGGGTTTAGAAAACAGAGCCAGTACAAGCAAAATGCAGCGAGCAGAGCGCTCGGGGAAGCCAAGATATAATGGAAAGAGTAAAATACTGCAGAGCTTTTTAAACTATATACAATTGGAACAATGGACTGGACCCAGACATCCATGTTAAACTGTTGGAAGATAGGTGAAAAGCAAGCTGCAATTCTGTAGCCGGGGCCAGAGAATACTAGAATGGAAGGGCTTAAAGCCGAAGCAAATGAACGTGGGGTGGTTTAGCTTGACAGAAATCACGTCAAAATTGGTATATTTCGCTGTTTAATTTACCACGTGCAGAACCATCTCCTGGCTTTCTGTATTAAAGGACTATCAGTACCAGCCGCCTTAATGAAGCTCCTTCTAAGCCACCTGTGAAATAACAATATCGTGGTTGTTGCACCTCTGTTTTTGCCAAAACACCTTAAAAGCATCGGCTAATTAAGTAACACAGCCACTGTGAGAACAGGCCACATAGCTACAAAATGTATGCTAAAGAAATACACCTGGGGGGCTATTGCACGGTGATTGTTTAATTGCCTCCCGTTATTTAAACGTGGTATTAATTATACATGCAATGCCTTGTTCCAAAGCGTCACAGCCTCGCTGGAAAAAGGGTAAGTACATCAATATTAAAAATCCAAAGGCTAAAATAACCCAGTCCTGCTGAACCAGTGCTCTCAGATGTCTGGGCCCAAGCACCTCTTTGAAGCAATCTGCTGCACAGTGCACCAGCGCTGATCAGCGCTTGCACGGCAGCGTATCAGTTATACTTTGTTTTTATGCGCGCTTACAGTCGAGTGCAATTGTTTTTAATGCCTGCCTTGCGATGTGATTCAATCCATTTGGGTGGCTTAATGCAAAGATTCCGTAATGCGACGAGCAGCGCTAAGGCAACTCGCACAGCACTCATTATTCTTTTAACGGGAATGTCAACAAGAAGAGGAATTAGAGAGGAAATCGCTGTAACTCCAAAAGAACATCTGACTAACCACTACAGATGACATGTTTTTTCCCTTTTTATCCTCTTCACAAGCCATAAAGGAGGATTTCTCCAAAACAATTAATTTGGTTGCCAAACCCTTCTTAATTCTAAGGAGATTTAAAACTCATCTACTTGGAGTCTGTCTCATGGAGCTAGACCCACAACCGGATTACGAGCTATTCCATCATATGGCTGTTGTTAGCCCAGTTGCTGCTACGTGGTACATAATTGGACCATTAAAAAAAGAAAGAAAGAAAGAAAAAGAAAGGAAAAACAAGAAAAAGACATATAAACCCTTCAATCTTCTTTACTGAGCCCACTGGCACTTCCAGCATTTTATTGTTTGTGTTACTTTCTCCACTAAATAAAAGCCTGGCAGCCTGAGAGAAAAAGGATTTTCTACAGCTTCTTCCAAGTAACTCTGAGATAGAGCCTGCAGTACGAGCATTGACGCTCTGAAATAAACTGATAACAGACAGAATTGTGAGCTTTGATCCCACAGCAAAACTCAGGTTTAAGTTAGAAAAACGCCTCATCTTTGTGTCTGGTGTTGGAGAGCATCTGGCAAATTTCCACTTAGCAGGAATCCTGGTTTGCAGCACAAACTAGGTCCAGTGTTAATTCTTTTAATTATTGCATGTGTGTTTTGTTTTGTTTCTTTAGGGAGAATCGGTGACCTTAAACAAGACAAGGAAGACTTAAACCCAGATTCACCCCTTTGTAACATGGCTGGCTTAGAGCTGAGGTCATGGTAATGTTTTGTTTCTCTCTGCTGTGGTGCACAATGGTCGGCTCTTGATCTTTGCAAGCCAAGATGAGACCAACAGTTAGATAATGTCTGCACTGACAGCCACAGTCTCAGACCTGTGATGTTCCAAATTAGACACACCTCGTGAATGCGACAAAGCCACCATGTAGGCACCGTGCATGTCACCTTTATATGGGGAAGGCAGAAGATGGAAGGAATGTACTAAAGCCTTGTCCTAAAACGGCACCAGAAGTACTTGGTCACGTAGTTCAGAGGTGCTGTCGAAGTACACAGATGAGGGTTTTACTTTAAAGTATAAACCACTCTTTGGCTGGCAGCCTCATGCCTTTTACATTCTTTCAATGTAATTGTTTTATTTAATGTACTGTAGGCATATAATTGGTATTAAGCTTGTAAGCATAATCTGTGGAAGCCCGTAAAGTGCGGCTGCGTGCCATCTCAGCACAGATCAACAAGTACCGCAGTCTGGGAGGACAACAAGTGCACCAACAGAAACGTATTTCTTCTCTATGAACTTTAGTTTAGTAAACAAATCTGTACCATGCTAGTATTTATTACAGGTTATGGCTTGACGTGCAGATTAGGCTGACTTTTAGAAGAGAGAACATTGTGGCCAGGATAAAGTCTCTGCCCAGGAAGACACTACTGATTTTGCCAATAGAAGGGATGAAATATTGTAAGACAAAGGGACGCTTCCGCATGTGAGGACCAACCATTCAGGCTCCCTGCCCCATTTCCATATGGGGTTGAAAGACTTAATTTTACTGTCTAAATCTCAGCGTGCCAAGAAAGAAACTGCTTAAAGCTAAATATTTAAACTTAGAGTATCTCTCTTCAGATATTTTCTTCAGAAACAAAATACATTCGCTCCATATTTTCACCTTCAAGTTTCCGTTTTCCAGCTTGCAATAAGGCAGAGCCCAAGTGTATCCTGTAAACATTACCCTCACGCCAGGACAGGAGCTGTTTCACAGTGCCCCTACTTGACTGTGATCCTCTTTGGAGAAAAAAAACTCAAGTGTGAGTTTCTGATAAGTTCCAGCTTCTGAATCCGTGCTGAGATTTCTCTCTCACTCTCTGCAGGGCCCAGAAGAAATGCCCACTCTTCATTTCCTTCCTTTCGTACAGCTCCAGCCGACTCTACCAACATCAATGAACAATAGCCCTTCCTCTCCCTGTTGCGTTCGGTGCGTTACGTCACCCAGAACCAAACAAACCGCAACGTTTCCGAAAACAGAAATTGTTTTTAACAAATTCAGGCCGGCCAGCTGTTTGCTGTCTGCCAGCTGGGAGCGCTGCCTTCAGAATCCACACTGGATGCTCCTGCTCGTCCCCGCGTTGCTCACCAATCTGTCCATCTGTCCGCATGGCGTGGTGCCAGCACTTCAGCTGGCCCGATCCTTATCCTGGGCACAAAGCGGCGTGCAGTTGGATGACAGTCTCAGCAACTGCAAGCGTTTGCTACAAGTCCCTCTAACGTGACAGCATTGCTCCAAGAGGAGAGCTAGAGAGACCTCAGGTTGGTGTTATGCTACCGATGGTCTTCAGCTTTTGGAAAATGACACAGAGTCATTGGCAGAACTACAGTCACCAGTGAATATAAAATGACAAACACTGCAGTTTTATACATATATATCTTTAAGTGCATCAATGTATTCCTTAGATTAGTAGTTAGGCATCCGCAGTACCTGAAAACGTACGACAAGTTTTGTTATTGTATAACATACAAATTACGTCACAAAACTCCCATTGATTTTACTGAGAGCAGCATTTGCCTTTAAGTATATTTCTCCTAAAGCTTTTTTAAAGCAACAGCTTAGGACTCAACTTTGCCATCATTCACTGAATGCTCCAAAGAAGTCCCACTGAAACGGATGAAGTTTCTGCTAGGAAGTCCACCGTGAGTCTTGGTACCAGGAGATGCTTTGGGGAGCAGGACTCGTGGCTTGCAGCATTTCTCTTTTCCACAGTTCCATGTATCACTGCTGATTCAGATGGACTCGAATTCTGACACTCCGCTGTGTTGCTGGGTTTGTTAGAATTTACAGGTGGCTTCCTTCCCAAACCTGTCTTAGTTTCAAGAAGCTTATTTGCCCTGAAGTCCTCAGAGACCAACAGGGCATTACTCTTTTTTCAGGAATTGAGGTAGCCTACCCATTGGACAGAGGGAGCGAGCACCGGGTCATCACTGCAACCATAATTTCTCTCTGATTCAATTGTTACACAGAAAAAAGTACAAGTTACATCTTTCATCAGAAAATAATTGATTTAAGTTCTTGTTTTCTTGTTTTATAAGACTACCTGGTGTATGCAGTTGATTGTATCTGAGTGAAGAAATCTTGTAATTGACTTTTTTAAAATTAACAATTTCTTATATTTGGCATTAACTATCCTTTTAATTAAAATTTATTTTTAGAGCCTCTTCCATTAGGAAAAAAAACAACTTTAAAAAATAAACATATTAATGATACTCGTACTCTGCTGCTCCTTACGTCTCCAAATCCAAGACAGAGCAGCTGAAGGAACTGGGGCTGCTCATTCTGGAGAAGAGGAGGCTGAGGGGAGGCTTCATCGTGCTCTAGAGCTGTCTGAAAGGAGTTTGCAGCAAGGAGGGTGTTGGTCTCTTTTCCCAGGTAACGTGACAGGATGTGAGGAAACAGCCTCCAGTCGCACCAAGGGAAGTTTAGATTGGACATTGAGAGTATTTTCTTCACAGAGCAGGTGGTTAAGCTTTGGAACAGGCTGCTGAAGGAGGCAGCAGAGTCCCCATCGCTGGAGGTATGTAGGAGGTGTGGATGTGGCACTGCTGGACATGGCGTAGCGATGGGACCTGGTAGGTCAGGCTGCTAGTTTGACTGGATGACCCTACAGGTCCTTTACATCCTAGATGGCTCTATGGTTTGCACCGTGGGAAAGCTGGTCACTTACATCTGTCTTTAAGCACCTTTAAAGCTGAGGCGCTCATTTCTAGGCATCACAATTTAAGACAAATCAGAGGAGCTGTATGAGCTCTGAAAGCTCAGTGTGCTCCTGTCTTCACAAAACAATGACTGCCAAAGCGAGGCAACCTGACCGCTTCAGAACACCTCTCCATTTTGTACTGAAATCTTTCCATGCTTACCAGAAAGGTTTTGAGCAGGTGCTGCCCAAGGGCTGTGTGTGCTCGGGACCTGTCTATGGATAGGGTTATATTTATACAGGTTATAATTATATATAGACATGTCTAATTGCATTATTGCCAAAATTCCCTATTTGCATTCTTTCAATTTTTTTATGGGCTGTTCTTAGCTTGCCTTTATTTTCTGTTGTTTTGTTTCTGTGCAGTCGAAGATTCTTCATCAGATGAAGCTCTAAAAGAAAACAGACGCACAGCACAGCACAGTTTCTCTGCTGGCAGGGAAACAACATGAAAACTGCCCCAGTACTTATTGTGGCATTCAGGCTCTGTCAGTCTTCTTCAGGAGCAGTAATAACATTATAATGACTGGGAGACAAAACTGCCAAAGTCTTTCCAAGACAATCTTCTGGGCTCATCAGCATAGACAATCATTCTTTTCACTTCTGGAGTAATAGGAAGATTTTAAGCAACATCTTTTGATTTGAGTTGGACTTGAAAAATGACATAGCTGGGGGCCTTATTTTAAATGCAACGAGACTGAAATGTAAAGTGCAATTTCCCATGCAGTCTGTGGAGAGAATGAGGCACTTGTCCCAGTTCTCTTAATTGTCTCTGATTGCTGTTTGTGTAGCACAGTCACTTCCTCATCTTCAAAATCACCTTCAAGGGCTGCAACATTTTTCACTTCACTGTTTTAAATCAGGAAGGGCTAAACACTCACCCATTCAGCCATTATGGCTCTTTTATGTTATTTATGTGGTTTATGCTATTAGGCTGTAAAATTTTGTTTATTTAATTGGCTTTAACAAGTCCTTAAGTAACAGTTTTGAGGACACATCAGTGGGACTCGGCGCATGTTGATTAAGGTGTGCTTAACCTGACAGTTATATTTTGTACCATTTTCCCAGCAGCCGTTACTGTTATGGAAGAAGTGCTAATTTTCCAAAAATGGTGGCAGCCCGATTATTATGTTGGTTCTTTATTCATGCAGCTTCATTATTTTGTTGGCGCTGCTCTGTGAGAGATGAAGCAGTGCTATTATTTCTACTCCCAACTCCTTTCAGTCCTTTGCAATCACTCGGGCACATGTGTGGCATTACTCAGATAAGCAATTCTGTTTGCCTTCAGTGAGACTGGGTGTATGAATACACCCTGTAAAACAGCTGCTCACCTTCCTATGTCAGCACAGTATTTCCTGGCATGCACTTTGAGCGATGAAGAAGAAAGAGTAAAGACCCATCAAATCTTTGTTCCATCAAATCTTTGTTTAAGTTTTAATTCAGAAGGGAAGTTCTGCCAGTGAGGAGCTCTTGGTTTTATGGGGAACCCAAAAGGAGGGAAAAGGAGTGGAAATTTCCAAGGTGGTTACAGATAAGTGGAGATCAGAGAGGCCGCTTTGGCCTCTAAAAGTAGAAAGGCTGCTTAGGTCTGTGGCTGGAATATTAGAAACTGGTACTCCAAAGTTACTCAAGACTGCAGAAGTTCAACTTAGCTTTTACAACAAATTATTCATGGAAGTCAGCAGGAGCTGGAGATAAACTGTTCCTTTTGTGCATATCTACGTGAACGGAACTCTCAAGAGAGATCCTCAAGGTCCTGCCAAGAAAACAAGTGGAAACATTTTGAGAATGGAGTAAAGATTTATAATTGAAAGCACCAAAAGTGTGTTTTGGTTAGATGCCACCTTTCCTCAGACGAGCGGGTGGCACAGAGGGCAAGGAAAGGTACGAGGGCTGGAAGGAATGTGGCTGTGACACCAGGCTGCTTTTAAACGTATGGCTGGAGCTCTGTGCACTCAGCTCCCAAGACACCTTGACTCCACCAGAGCGCCCAGCTTAGACCTTCCACCTCCTTTATTTTTTCCCTGGTTGCCAAGATGACACCAGGTGTCATCACACCACGCTTGGCCTCTAGTGGAGATACATCGAAATGCTGCCTTCTACAGCCTCTGAATCCCTAGCAGCGCAGTTGCAAATAAAGGGCAGGACTGCAGACAGAAGCTTTCTTTCTCTCACATTTCTTCACTGGAGAAATAAAAATTGAACTTGTTGAAATGCATACTGTCTTATTTTTCACAACTTGATTATTATTTGAGTTACCATTGCAAACCCGTGCATGGATCTGAACGCACTGCACATGCATCCTGACCTAAGGAGCTGAGAACAGGGCAAGAGACCATGGTTGGGCAGTGACTAACAGGCCACAGGCAAAGGAACGATCAAGTAAGCCAGGTTAGCATGTGTTTAGGGGCTCAGAACACCTGCACTTTCATCTTAAATAAGACTCTGGCCATATTAAAGATGGTGGCAGTTTCAGACCACATAAGCAACTTTTTTTCCAACAAGAAGAAAATTAGTGCCACACAAAATGTGAATTTTCTTTAAAGCACTGAGTGTAGCAGTGGGGAAAGGGAATAAAGGATGTTCTTACAATGAACACTTCTGCTTTAAACAGAGCATTGGAAATGAAAAATACTATTTTTCATATTTCACCCTTAATAACACATTAAAGGGTTTCTTAGCAGTACTTCTGACAATGGGAATAAGTCAGGGTTAACTTGGCAGAAACCCCAAACCACACTTAGCTGCTCCCTATTGTAGCAGTGAACAAAGGTTTTATTAACATCTTACCCCTCGTTGGGCCCAAGAGTTCTTTTCCACACAACAGGAGCTTTGAGTCAATTTACAGCTCTGCAGAGGGGATTTGTGCTATCAGATTCCGCATGTCATTCAGCAGTTGTTTACATTTATTTCCCACCATCCCCATCAAAATTTATCCATGAGAAGTGGGGACTTTTTTTTTAAGAGTGTTTTTAAAACATATCCATGATGAGCACAAAATCAATGGATGAAAAACCTTCTAACCTCTAAAACCAAGCTGCACATAAAAGATGGACAGAGGAGGTGCTGTAGTTCATGAAGTCTGCCTTCTATAGTAAAAGCAGAAGAAAATCAGACCAAAAAAGAAAAACCCTTCAGGAAATCTTGTTCCCCAGGTGTCTCTGAAGACCACAGCTGTCTTGCTATCAGAAGGAAAAAAAGGCCACTTGCTAAGGTGCAGCATTCATCAGCCCACTTTGTTGCACCTAATCTGTGTGAGCTGCCTTCTCTGGTAGCCACAGCCTCCACTGCCTCCTAGTTCTGAAAGCATGGCCATCTCAAGCCCTCTGTGGCTATCTGGCCTGAAGGGTGCAGCTGAATCAATGTTGGTCCAATGAACATAACAGACTTCCAGTGAGTGCTGCTGTTGGGACAATTTGGTGTGGCAGGAGGTCTGAAAGGACTTCGACAAAATACAGCCAGCAATTGCCTCCTGTGTCTAACCCATATCGGGTGGGAGTAGCCTGGGATGACTCAGAAAGATCCTGTGAAAAGGTGACAGCAAAGTGGACACAGGTGAAATTTATCCAACGCAGCAGAACGGCAGCCTACTGATAAAACAGCACGCACCCACAGCATACTCATCTGTCAGATGGAGTCCTTGCCCCAAAACACTCAGCTTCTACCCATCTCAGTCCAAAACAAATGTAATGCATTCAATGAGTCTAAAGGACTTATGGCACTGATAATCCTCACTCCTTGCTGGATTTAAGATGAGGCCTTTGGAAAGGAGAATCTGCCGTCGCATGGCAAAAGATGTTTCCAACCCAATCATCTGATAATTGCTGTTAACAGGAAGCCTGCAGTTTGTAGTCCTTCACAGAGCAGCAGTGATTGCATCCCTCCGCTCAGCTTCCCAGGCCATGCAAGGCTTTCTCCCACAAGCACAGGGCCCTCTATTTAACTTGAAGCCAGAGGCTGGCCTTCCTAATGCATCGAGGTTTCGGATCCCCTTATTACCCAAACATATCCTAGACTTCAAGGGAAATGAGCACACTGTGGGAAGTGTGTCCCTGCCCTCATGGAAGCAGGCAGCCTTTAACTTTGATCGGCTCTCACACAGGGGAGAAACACCTTTGGCTTTCACAAAAAAGTTGGAGGCAGAGGGATCAGTGTGCGCTTTTAAATGGAATCCAGAACCCACCAACTTTGCGTGGAGTTACTGCAGTGGTTCTTTTCCAAAGCAAACTGATTTCTCAGCTTCTTCAGCAAGGGCTGCGCTTCCAGTCCGCATCCCTGCTGCTCTAAACAGTGAATGAAACGAGCAGCTCTCCACCTCGAGAGGGCACCACGAGACAGCTGAAAAAAGGAACGGAGGCAAACAGGCTTTACCTCAGGCCCCAAATATTCCTGTCATGAGGATGTTCAATTACAGTAATTAGCAATAATCACATAAGCAACAGGAGCTCCCCTTACCTCCCTTCACCCCACCAAAGAATGGATTCTGCTTCATTAAAACCTCCACTTCCTCCTTAATCCTGCAGCCTCGTTCCTGGGCGCTTCCTTCAGCAACGGGAGGACCTGGATCCCACTTGTGCTGCCTGACTGGGTCAGCATGTCAGCCTGGGAGGGAAAAAAGTGTCCCTTGTGAGTCACCTGCCTTCAAAATTGAAAATTAGGAGGGGATGGATGTCTTAAATGCGAACGGATGGTACTCAACAAGCTGAAGCCTATCACAAGTGTGACTGCTGCTGTTTTTTTGTAACAACCCTGACCTACTTAACATAAATGAGCTGTCTATGAAGCAGGATTTGTTGTTGTTTTTTTTTTCTCTCAATAATTATGTTTTCCCCCCTCCCACCCACCCTATAGCCAATAAATTTACCCTGGCAGTACCTAATTTGCAGGAGGAAAAATGAAGTCAGAAGATTTACTGAAGGTCAGATGAAAACACATTTGTTCAAACACCATTTTTCATTCTTGGAAGCACCTCAGCTTAGTAACTTCAACACGAGACCATTCTCCATCCCTCTCCATCCCTCCATCCCTCTGCATTGATGCTTCCCAGCAGTGAGTCACTGGCAGCAAGGCAACACCAGGGGCACGATGAAATTATAGACTAAACAAATATGTTTAAGAAGTAAATACACCTGCTAAAACATACTGGTTGAGTTTGAGCAAAGCAAGGAGAGCAGAGAGTTTTGAATGAGCTTAAGTTCTCAGTACAGATGAAATAAGGGGCCTGGATGCTCCTGACCTCCAAACGCAGGCTGCCTCCAGCACAAAGGCATTTTCAGTGCTGAGTCCCCAGAAACCAGGATTATGTCCCAAAGTCTGTGCACTGTCTGAGCCTTGGTACAGACCAGAAAGTGCAGATCCAAGGAAGAGCCTCAAGTAAGAAATCTTCACAGACAGAAATCAATCCATGCTGGGCATCTGGATGCCTCCCTGTGAGAGCTACTGCGGGGAGCCTGCTTTAGCAGGGGGGTGGGACTTGATGATCTTGAGGTCCCTTCCAACCCCTGCAATTCTGTGAACCAATGCAACGTGGATGGCAAACGTAAAGGAAGGGACCAGCAGCCCCATCCATCAGTCTGCTCCGTGAGGCTCTAAGTCTCATTTACCCCCACATACCAGCTAAAATGAGAAAGGCAAAGACAGAATTCTGGATATTCAGGACATCTGGCAATCTGATGGAGATTCCAGTCTGCGGCAGCATTTCCCAGTATTTTATACAATCAGGAAACAGCACAGATGCTCTGCTTTCTCATCGTAGGTGAGCTGAGGACAGAATTGGTGAGGCCTGGTTGGAAAGAACCCTGAGGAAAAAGCACAGTACACAGAGGAAACTATGAATTTCAGCTGGATAAATACAAAGAACATTAAGTGATTCATTCATAACCAAGAGGCTTTAATTTATACACATTCATTTTTGGGCATGATTCCTGTTGTTAAAACAGAAATGCCATAAATAAAAAATTTGTATGACTCAGGTAATAACATGGAGAATTAAATACCTTTCCTTCCTTTTTCTGCATAAACTTACAAAGCAAATAACTTCATGGATTGCTTTTCTTTTCATTTTAGATTCAGTGAGAGATCAGGGTGATGACATGGTTTTATAGAGGGTCACGAGACCAAAAAAGTTAAGGAATGATGTGTGGATTTTGTGGGAACATGAGGTAATTAAATCTCCATCCCTCCAACTCTGTCCTGAGAGGTTCTTTATAAAGACAGCAGGCAAACAGCAACTTCATAAAGTCCAACAAAGAGAATTGCAAAGCCCTGCCCCTGGGCAAGAACGACCACAAGTCCCAGAACAGGGTAGAACAGCTGGAAAGCAGCTGTGCAGGAGCTCCCATGGGAGACCTGGAGGGCAACAATTTGAGCACAAGCCAGCAATGTGCCCTTACAGCAAAAGCTACATTAGGAAGAGCATCTCCAGCAAGCCAAAGGAGATAATCCTTCTCTCCTCTGCAATAGAGAGGTCACATCTGCACTTCTTGGTTCAGTCTTTGGCTCCTCAGTACAGTGGAAGCACAGACATTCTAGGATGGGTCCAGTGAAGGGCCATGATGGTGGTTAAGGGGTTGGAGCGTCTGTCGTAAGGGGACAGGATGACAGAGCTGAGCCTGTGAGCCTGGGCTTCAGGAGTATCTTGCCAATGTGAACCAACACCTGATGGGAAGGGGTAGGAAACTGAGCCCGACTTCTAAATGGCGCTCAGTGAGCAATGGACACTGAAATACAGGAAACTATTTAAACATAAGAAAAAAAACAGACACCAAAAAAGTAAACCAAACCCTGACAACCCACACTGGAACAGGTTATGCACTCTCAATCCTTGGAAATACTAAAAGCCCAGCCAGACACAGCCCTGAGTAGCCTGCTCCACTGACCCTGCTTTGAGCAGCACTTGGACTAGGTCACCTCCAAAGGTCCCTTCCAACCTGAACACTCCTGAGGTTCTGACTGTGCAGGTTATTGATCTGTTCTGTGACAGGAAGAGCAACAAGCTGTATCAACAAACTTTGCTACTGAAAGAGCTAGGTTAGTTGCTAGAATCACACTCACCAGCTGGAGTGAAAGTGAGTTTCTGTTCAAAGCCCTGCCAATGTAAACACTATTGTTCCTGAATGTGAGCTGTATCTGTGGGATTTCTTAATGTGCCTCAAGAACATGGACATCATTAGGCACCTTATTAGCACCCTGATGAGAGCTGATGGCTAGCAAGGAGAGGGGCTGGCTGCCCAGCCTGAATGCAGCGCTTAGCTGAGCTTCTCCTTGAAAACATTCAAACCTTGTGGATGGAATGCAAAAATGGGAGAGAAATAAGGAAGGGCTGGTCCTTCCCTTTCATCTCCTGGTTAAATGATGACCTGCTTGGTAAAGAGATACAGGACACTTCACTGCAAACCTTCCCTACTTGGCACACAGCATTTTTAATTTGCCGTTCATGGAATGCATTTAAGCTTTCATTTTACTCAGGGTTAATGATTCCTGAAATAAAAAAAAGCAATGTAAATATAACTCCTGAAGATGGAACATTCAGAAGCAATACTCCTTCCATCTCAAAATTGCTCAGCTCACTTTTAAAATCATTCTCAGAAGTAGGGCAAGAGGTCTGCCTAATTATTTACCGAGCATTTGCACTTGAAAACACCATTCTAAATTACACTGATTGTATCCCAGAGCCCAACTCCAGGCCTAACAGTATGGTCTGTTACACCAGAGGAAGCTGTTTTAGCAGTGTTCCAGCAGGAATATTGTTTAGGTTTTAGAGCCCTCTTCTATCTAGGTGCCATGAAACGTAAGAAAATGAAATCAGCTAGAGCTAGGTAATCAGGAATGATTTATTTTGTAAAACTGTCCGTTTTTAATCAAGGCAGACTTAATTATTTAGATAGACCTGTTTGGGAACAAAATTAACTTCTGTGCTGGCTTCATTTTTCATCTGGGAATATATTATGACTGTGAATGCTGAGCTATAGTTTATTTCTAATCCTGCTGGTGTTCTTGCTGTACACACAATAAATTAACACAGGATGTCCTCTGCATCTTGTTACCGCTTCAGCACTTTCCACTTCAGTCCACACTGCTCTTTTCTCTTTGCATCCTTGCACGGTTCTGCACATCAGCTATCTATAATTGCCATCATCCAAACTGCAAATACAGCCTGTTTATTTCTCATATCCAAAACAGGAGCACGAGAAGAAAGGCTGGGTAAGCTGAGCATAGCTGCGGTTCAACAGAACAATGTCACTGGGTCCAAATCTAGCAAAGTTTGTAGGCACAAACTTAATTTAAAACATGTTAGTATTGTTTTTGCAAGAACACTTCTAATGTTAAGGCTTCAGTAGCAATTTTCATACTTGAATTATGCAGAAGGCAAAGAACTTCACTAGACAGAGGCCTGACCTCCAACACTAAATGCAACCCTCTTTGTCTTTCAGAACCAAATTAATTCTCTTATCCTCACACTGCAGTGCACCCCTTAGACTCAGATTTTGATTGAAGATTTAAAATGGATAATATAAATGTGACATATACATTAAGTGAAATTTCAGATAGATGGCTTTTTAACGTTCCAAAGCAGCTTCCCTGGAAGCGGCTCACTCTTAGTAAATTACCTCTGACAAGTCCGAATCTCCCCAATAAGCCTCTCAAACACTACAGCTTCTGCTCAGAGGAATATCTAAAAACTCATCACGCCCAGTCCTTGACAAAGAACAAGAATTAGATTCAAACTGAAAAGAAGCGATGCTGGGAGAGGCTGACATTCAAAAAGGGTAGGAGGATAAAAGAGAGAGAAAAATGACAGACCCAGTCTGCACCATTACTAAAATTAGATCATTTCTTTTGTTCTCCTGAACCTTCTGCTCTATTTGCCAGGAATCATATTAGCAACAGAAACTGTGAGAATCTGTCCAACCTTATTAGAGAAGCTGGGCACAAAGAAATGATGAAAATCCTTTTTAAATGTACTTGCACATACAAAGGAAAAAAGCGGAGTTTCAGGATTTTGAAAGATTGGATCAAAACCCACGTCGGAAAAACTGGACATCAAACTAACAAAGCTTAATTAGCAGTACTGCAGTGCATGGAGAACAAGCAAAGAACAGAACTTTACCACTTGCATCAGTATAGATATAGGCTTAATGCTCCACAACAGGGGTAAACACAGGCATGCTCTCAAGCTCTTCTCCTCCAAAACATTCATCTACTGTCCAAGCACTGCCACCTGTAAGAGCTCCGAGGGGTCAGCTCTGCTATTGGGAAGCCTTCTGGCAGCTGACTTATGCTGCAGGACAGTGCATTTCTTCCCCATCCTCCTCCCATAGCTCCAGCACCCCAGCTGGGTGGGGTGGATATTGTCAGCCTCTATCCATTAGGCTAAAAAGGCATTTGTTCATATAACGTGGGAGATTCACCTGCAGGCCTAATGGTCTGCACTCCATAGGAGCAGCTGATGGTGTGTACAAATCACGCACCCCTCAGCGTTGTTGGAATGTCACGAGGATCTTCACAGTCAGATCCTGATGGAGGCCATTGGAACCCACACCCTGATAACTACGGGGTGTGAAGGCAACCATTCTTGACTGGGTGAAGTGCACCCACTGGCTTGCATGCAGATGACACAAATTCAGTACTCATACAAGAGCTACAACTTGTCCTGAAGCTCCAGCAGTGAGAGGCTGCTGGAATGGCATCTCTTGCACAGTCTGCCTCCATTCATAAGCACATCTACATGGCCATGGAGCGTGGGACAAATGACAACTGTGACGTCTGCATGGCCACAGGACTCTTACGCCCTGTCAAACCAAAGATGCAGAATATCCCATAGTCAATCCTGGGTTGTCACTTACAATTCAAGCAGTACACAAATTTGCAATTTGTAGTTCTTTTTCTGTCCCCTTCTCCTCGGATCAGTGACAGATTCTCAAAGCACAGCAATCGAAAGAGACTTCCAAGACAAGTGAGCAGCTGAATGAAAGTTAATACTTGATAAAATTCACCACATGAATGACTGTTACACTGGCACGATCAATAGTAGTTCAGAAATACCACCGAAAGCCCTTGGCCCTGGGGAAATGCAGGTATCTTTCACACAGAGGAACTTTTTAAAACTTTTTTAATGAAGTAGATGGTTTATTTTAAAGGGATAAAGTCATCCAGAAAGAAGCAAATTCCCAAGTATTCCATGGCTTTCTGCCAGCCTAAGGTCATACTGTCTAAAGGAATTACTTCTAAGGGAGCCATGAAAAAGTAGTTGTGGATAATACACATCCAGCATACACAGCTTCATCAATCTTAAGAAAGTAACCATAAAAAGTATGAAAATATGCAAGATGATTACTTGGGGGATCAGAATTAAGAGCCCTTTCACCAACTAAAAAGAAGCAACCCAAAAAACAAGTCTTAAGCCTGCAAATAGTTTATGTATATCTCAATTCAGGCAGATGAGAACTATTAATTTCAGAAGAATTGTTCACATGCTTGCAGTTACACACTACAGTAATCTGGAAAGGACAGCTGGAGGCTGGCAAAATTGACCTGCAACACTTTGCAAGTTTTATTTTATATGACCAAGAAAGCTCTTCTAACTTCTGGAGAAATAAATTAGTGTGCTCTCTTTTCCAGTACTTAAGAGTTTGCATTGACTCAATTTCTGATTAATTCTTGAGTAAGGACAGGCAAGAATCTTTTCTCTAAGTTCTGAAACACAAGCTGCAGAGACTGTCTTTAAATAAAGCTTATGTCTGCTTACCCCCGAAATTGTCAGATTTACACATTTCAGTACAGTGTTTTAATAGGATTGCAAGAGACACATTTCAAGGACAAGGTGTGAATAAACCTGGAATGCTGGAGAAACCGAGCAGCCTGAGATGTGCATCGTCCTGCCTACTGGGCTCTGAGTCACTTGTACGGTTGACCTCCACGGGAAAGAAACCCCATAAATGTAAATCTGTCTTTTTTGGTAGTGTTTCCCGAGTTCTACACTGGATACCCCCCACTTTGTCGCTTTGTTATCTTTGAAGAATACAGACTAACAAGCCTCTAAAAAAAGTTACTACGCTTCTGACTCAAACTGCTCAGAAGAATTCCTTTGCTGTATTTACAATTTCAAGTACACAGAAATGCATTAGACGTTATTAGGGATTCAGATTCCAACTGATGCAATTGTTTCCAAGAACTCACAACATGAATATTAAGGCAGACAGATGCATGCCCTGCTACCCTACAGTACACAGTTACACACCGTAATGCTGTTAGATGTAAATCCTGTTAAGGACGCTCCGGCTGCTAAACAGTGTGCAATGGGCCTGATGTGGTCCGCAGGGCCCAGGCTGGTGAGGGACCCAGGGACAGCAACCTGCTGCAGCTGCTGGATGGGCCGGGGGCTTTTCTTCACTTTTTTCTTCATTTTGGGAGCCTGCCAGCAAGCCACGGCTAGACAGGGCCCTCACGTCTCGTTTTACAGCGGGACGACGGCAGTTCGGGGCGGCAGACGCACACGGTGCTGCCGACGGAGCTTCGCCCTCAGCGCCGCGCGGCCGTTTCCCTCAGGCGGCAAAATGGCGGCGGCGGCTACGAAGGGGGGGCGCGCCGCCGCGAGGCCGGAATCCGTTATCCAACGCCTCCTCCTGCTGCTCTTCCCGCCCTGCCGGCGGGGAGGAGCGCCGGGCCGCGGCCTGCACCGTTCACGCCCCCTGAGGGAACCGGTGGGGCCGGGGTGCGGGGCAGCGCTCCACCGTCCTCCTCCTCCTGCCGCAGGCTCGGCCCCGTTCCCCTTCTCCCCGAGCTGCTCGGAGCCCAGGCCCGAGGTAGGTGCCGCCGCGGTGCTCGGAGGAGCCGATCTGATCTGCGGGCTCCGTGGCTCGGCGAGGCCTGATGGCAACGGGGAGAAACCTCCCCACCGCCGGCACGGGGCCAGAGCCGTCCGCCACAGAGCCGCGGCTTTCCCCGCAGGAATACGGGGACTTCAGCACGTGGGAGGGGGCATCCCGTGCGCGGTGCCTTGAGCGCTCCGTGCGGACGCGGATGGGGGCTGGAACGCGTGGAGCGGTCTGATGGCGCTGCAGCCCTGTAGCGCCGCTACGACGCTTCGGTCCCCGCCTGGGATGAGCAGCTGTTGTCCCGCGGACTGTTTGGGTAACCAGGAGGGTTGTCAGCGCTGGGCCAGGCCCCTATGATAGGAATGCGTGCTGGAGCCAGGTCCTGTAAACAGTCGGTGCCTCGTGGAGCCCCGTTGCTAAGGGCTCAGCAATAACGAGACGCGTGAGCGCCTCGTGGGAGCCGGGAGGTGTTACCTGACTGCTGGCAGCCGGCAGGACTGCTGATGGGGGCATTTCCACGTTTCTTCAGCTTAAGTTTTGGGCTTTATAAATAAACTCTCTTCCTTTTCTGGCTCCTGGTAGGTTTTTGGAGGGTGGCCAAGTGGAGCTGTATTGTTTGTGTGTGTAGATTCTGCGTCTCGCACAAAGATGTCTGTTGTTTACACAGAAGCTGTAAGAGGGATGTTTTGTTGGCGTTTGGTTGGCAATACAAATCGACACAACGCAAACAAAGCCTTGAAACAGAAATAGCCCTTTTTACAGAGAGCTGAACTTCACGGCTGCCAAAGATCTGCTTTTAAAGGAGGACGGTGCACCTTTTGGTTCTACTTTCTTCTTTGGTTTTGTTTGAAAGCTCGTCTTCTGTCCTTTACATACATATGAATCTGCTGCACCTAACTGTGGGAGCAACTTACTTTTGTGTATGCAGGTCATTTAAGCAGCATTCTTATAAAAGAGGTTGGCTGAACTGTAAACTTTTAAAACGACATTTGAAAATTGTTTTTAATTGGATGCGTCACTGTTAGGTTTTCACATCCTCGAGCTGACTGCAGTGAATTCCTCTCCCCATTGTCAACATGTGTCTTTTCCATTATGACTGATTTCTGCCTTCTCCTTTCCTCTAGCTTGGAATTTTTACAGTTTGGAAGAAAAAATAATCCAGCGTTGGTGGAGAGTGGTTGAAGAAAGCCTGCAGGGCCCCACGTTTCACTGGGGTGTGTGTTGGGGTAGTGTTCCCTGAAAGCAAGCTTCTGGTTGAGCTAGTGCATAGAAATGGCCTTTAGAATCCCTCATTTGCACTGCTTCTTAGTCTGAGAATGATGAGCAGCTACCTCTGCCGCTAGTATGTGATTAAATGTGAGGAGTGAAGTGGGCACCTAAAAGGATTTGGTATGTAGGGATCACAGGAAAGGATCACAGTAGGTGGGAACTCCATGGTGGTCAATGTGTTTCACTGTATCAACAATGATGTCTAGTAGGCTTTCATTGGGTTGTGCACATCCAGTGGAAGGAAGGCAGAATTGCATCTTCCAAGGCAATCCAGCATCTCTTTTTAAGAAGCATTCTTATCAATGAATTAGTTCTGCCATTGCATGCTTTGTGCTGCTCTTGGAGGAGTAGAAGTGCCATTCTACCCCATGTCTTACCTCAAGTATTTGTACATGTTGGCATCTCCCAAGAACATCTGTGGGTTTTCGCTTTTGTGACCAGTCTTGTAAGATTATATTTGAATATTGGAGTTACCATCATTATTTCTCAGTGTTTGTGACTGGCTCTTACATGGTGATCCACTGTAAAGGTTTAGAGGCGTTTTAAAGTTCTTACTCTAAGAGTGGTGAGGTGCTGGAAGAGCTGCCCAGAGAGGTTGTGGATGCCCCGTCCCTAGGGGTGTTCAAGGCCAGGTTGGATGGGGCCCTGGGCAGCCTGGGCTGGTATTAAATGGGGAGTTTGGTGGCCTTGCATGTGGCAGGGGGTTGGAGATTCATGATCCTTGAGGTCCCTTCCAACCCTGGCCATTCTGTGATTCTGTTTTCTCCTTCTTTCAGCTTTCCCCACTGCCATGAGGAAGATGTGAGTTGTGCAGGATCAGTGCATGGAAAACTATCAGTGTCATTTCCTTTATATGTTTTAGGAGGCAGAAAGCTATGTTGGAAAGAGACTAAAGATGCTGGTGTTACAGAAATAATAGGCTTTTCTAATTTTTTACAGTTTATTTCATAGTGCTTTGATTTTTGTTGGGACTTCAGGTGTGACTGTATGCCTGATTATGTGCCCAAATCAGTGACTCTTCAGTTTGTCCGTGGAGATCTGTAACAGGATTAATTGAAGTTGGAGTTCCATAGCAAGACGTGTTTGGAGTTAGCCCAGGTGAAAAAGAAATCCTTTTTAGGCAGACACTGTGGTGTGGAGATGAGTGGTTTTCTCATTTCCCAGCAACAGGTTAGATCATCTGCTGCCTAAAGCTTTGGATCGTTAGCATATTCTTTAATTTAAAAAATGGTCTTATTGACATTCTTGGCGTTTGCTTACTAGTTGTATTCTAGTAGCAAAATCTCTGGACGTGTTTCGGCAGTTTCTGGTACTACTGTTAAAATTCAGCTAGAATTAGCTACATGAAAATAGGAGAAGAGAACTCTCGGTCTCGGTTTTGAGTAAGATTCAGTAATGTTTGCTCCTTCTTCTTTCTGCTCTCTTACAGGAAAAATGATACTCATCCAGCATTCCTGAGTAATAAGAATGGGTCCAGATGTACCGCTGCTCAATGATTACAAGCAGGAGTTCTTCTTGAAGCGCTTTCCGCAGACTGTGCTGGGAGGTCCCCGCTTTAAGCTGGGCTATTGTGCCCCTCCTTACGTATATGTGAATCAGATCATTCTTTTCTTGATGCCATGGGTTTTGGGAGGAGTAGGAACGCTTCTGTACCAATTAGACATTATGAAAGACTATTATACTGCAGCACTTTCAGGAGGACTGATGTTTGCCACTGCGCTTATTCTTCAGATGGCAAATCTATATGCAAAACAGAAAACAGTGACAGTAGAAAGAATGCAAATCCAGAATGCTCTAACAGATGAAGATGAGTTTGAATTTTCCAGCTGTGTAGGTTCAGAGACAATAAAATTTATTATTCCTGGAAAGAAATACATCATCAACACTGTATTCCATTCGCTTCTGGCAGGGGTATTGTGCGGGCTGGGAACTTGGTATTTGCTGCCAAACAGAATAACCTTGCTGTATAACAACATAGGAGGAACTGTTATGATCTTTGTGTTTGGATGGGTGACTGTATGTATAGCAGAGTATTCGTTAATCGTAAATACAGCTACTGAGACTGCTACTTTCCAAGCGCTGGATACTTACGAAATCACCGCTCTGATGAGGCCTTTCTATATTTTTGTCTTTATTGCAGTGGATCTTGCACACAGGTAAACCTAATGCAGCATTTTCCTAATTAAAGCTCTAGTTATTTTGTGTGTGTTTTTATGAGAAAGGTGCAATTATTCTTCTGAGGGAAATTAACCAACTGTAGGTTGTCCAAAAGAAGGCAGAGAAGTGTTATGTCAAATACTGATGCTCTACATTGTGTATAAAAGGTTGTTCTTAAATTGCTGTATTTTGTCACGTAAATTGGGAAGACCCTGAGCAGCTTATAAGTTAGAAACAGTTAAAACTGTCTTTTGCAGTGTTAATTTGCTTTTAGATGTACTTCACACAAGCTTTCTCCTTGTCAAGCAGTAGTGATATCACTTAGTCAGAAAATGTGTTCATGTGACAGAGGTACTTCAAATGCATTATTAAAAAAAGCGTGTTTGCTTTTGATTGGATTAGTTTTGCACTTTTAGATGTAATTTACCCTAGTTGCTTTTTCAGTTACAATGTGATAATTACACAAACACTCTTGGACCCCAAATAGTTCCCTATAAACTCATGAACAGAAAATTCAGACGTTCTTTAAATTCCTGAAAACATTCCTTTGAGGCAGGCGTATTTGTTTACTAGGAAGCAGAGGGAAATCCAGTACCTTAGCAGTCCACCTGTGAGTCAGTGTGCTTGCTGATGAACTATATATGGCTTAGAATTTATGCCGACTTCTAATACTGATCTTTGTGTTTTTACAGAAAGGTTTAGATGCTTTTATGTACAAAATTACTACAATTTTGAAAGATAGAGGCTGAGGTCTTGTAGATTGAATAGGTCGTGTTTATGCTTCTGGATGGACTGTACTAGTTGAGCAAAAAGCCTTCCCACACATCAGCTGTATTTTCCTTCACAAAAGTCAAATGCGTTTCTTCTTTCCAGGTTTGCTGTCAACGCACCCATTCTAGAGCAGGCAAACCAGATTTTGCACGTCGTATTTCTTTGTCTGCCGTTCTTGTGGGCAATGGGAATTCTGCCCCCGCTTGACGCGCTTTTTCTGTGGGGAATGGAACAACTGTTGGAGTTTGGACTAGGAGGTTCACCTATGTCAAGTAACACAAAGTAAATTTTGTTTATATAATGATAAAATACAGCAAGATTGTTTATAACCTTTTTCTTTTCAAGCAAATCTTTTTTATTTTCTCCTTCACAGGTTGTTAGTAATGTTTCTCATTTCTGCTGGAACAGCAATAGCATCGTATTTCATTCCCAGCACTCTCGGTGCGATCCTCTTCATGACTGGATTTGGGTTCATACTGAGTCTTAACCTAAGCGAGATTGGCTTTGCCTTCAAACGCCCCATGAGCAGCCGTTTAGCCTCCAGCAAATCTAAAGATATGCATAGTGGTCTTAGAATACAGCTTGGGTGGAGGGAGTTGATTTTTTATTTGACTGTACTGACACTTGCTCTCACAGAAGCTAGCCTGCTGCATCAGTTTGCAGGCTTTTCATCGTTTTCCAAGGCCAGTCCCCAGGCTGTAGTGAGTTACGTTCTGCTGGTATTACTTGTAACTGTGTGGATTCTTAGAGAGATTCAGAGAGTGTACTTGTTTGGAACCTTCCGAAACCCCTTTTATCCCAAGGATATCAGGACTGTGACTGTATTCATGGAGAAGCAAAGAAGGCTAATGAAAGTTGGTGTTGTCAGGAGGATTTTACTAACACTAGGTAGGAATGCACACTATCTGTTGTTTGTTAGATGATGATTGTAGGAAGATTGAAACAACACTAGAATTACTTTATGTGCAAGACTGTGAATGAACTAAGAAAAACCGAGTAGCTGGAATTATTTGTTGTTCTTTGCTGTTCTTTCTGCATTGAGAAAATACGGGCTCCGAATATTTGAAAGTGATTACCAGTTTATTTTTTTTAAAGGGATAAACTTTAAAGTTTGAGAATATTAAAACTCCAGCTCGAGAAGTAAGGCCTGCTAAAGGATTTTAGTTAAAACATCAGTATGCACTTAAAAAACAAAACAAAACAAAACAAAACTTTTCTTGATTTTTTTTAAAAAAGGTCTTTGGAATCTGAAGTGATTTGAGAGTCTTCAGGTTTACTGAATTTGCTAGCAAACAGAACACTCTCCTTTCTGGTGGGGTTAGGGACAAATTTGTTTACTTTGAGGGAACCAAAATTTGACCTAAGTTCATTCAATTTCATAAGAAGTTCCAGTTTGGGGAAGTGGACTGACCTAGAAATATTCCCTTCTCAGGGAAACAAAGAAAGTAATAATGAGTGAAAAGCAAGCACTGACATAAATGTTTGCATTGCCATTAGTTCTTTGATGTCTTGGAAATGTAGTACAAAGAGGAGCTTGTCACAATGAAAGAAGGAATTCTCTTTTCACACTAAGACTTTACTCTGCAATAATACTGCTTACCACTGTAAACTTCATGTTTCTGAAAGGAAATCAATTACTCTTTTGTTTCCATTTCAGTGTCTCCGTTTGCTATGATAGCATTCCTGTCACTAGACCGGTCGCTGCAAAACCTTCATTCTGTCTCTGTTTCCATTGGATTCACAAGAATATTTAGGATGGTAATTTGAAGTTTAATTACGTTAGCCTAAGAAATTCTCTTTAGCGTTATTCCAGTATTAAGATGACTTGGCAGAAATATTCCAGGTCAAGAAAGCTGAGAAAAATTAAGGACGTTTTTAGAATGTACTTCTAACATACCTTTATTTTAGGTATGGCAGAATACAGAAAATGCCCTACTGGACATTGTGATTGTGTCAGTAGTGCAAATGTTGGTGTTCAATCCAGACCTGTGGTGGAACAAGAGCCTTGATACAGGAATCAGACTATTGCTGGTAATTGTCATAATGTATATTTTTGCATTTAGTTGTAATCTAAACTCTGTTTCCTTGCCCTCCCCTATGAGACATGCACAGAGTTCAGGATCTAGCAGAGACTAAAAAGCTGTGTACTAAGACATGCACTCTGAAGAAGTCAATGATAATCACTCTTCACTTTCTTAAAATTATTCTAGATAAGGCAGTTTTAGCAGTGCTGTGATAGAAAATACAGATAAACATACTCATGTTATATGTATCTTGCAGGTTGGTATCCTACGGGATCGACTGCTTCAGTTTGCCTCAAAGCTGCAATTTGCCATAGCCATTCTTTTGACATCATGGACAGAGAAAAAACAGCGTCGTAAATCTGCTGCCACCTTAATCACGTTGAACGTGGTTTTCTTCCCAATCCTGCTGATCTTCATTGCCATCTCTGCGCTCCTTTCTTCTCCACTGCTGCCTCTCTTCACACTACCAGTATTTCTGATTGGCTTTCCTAGGCCGATCCGAAGCTGGCCAGGACCAGTGGGTGCTACAGCGTGTGTTTGTTCTGACACGGTGTACTACCAGCAGATGGTTCCAAGCCTGGCTCTTGCTCTGCAGTCTGCATTAGCAGCTGGTAGCTTAGGTAGGTATGGCAGCTCCACCACAATGGAATGTAATTAATGCTTTGAGAAATGTGATCTTGCTGCAACATGGCAGAATCAGCATCTGGTTGATAATACTTCTCAAGTGCTTAGATTAAATCTGATAACCAGAGATTTTTCATTTGAGGAAAAACTGATTACTTCCCATCTTTCTCATGCCACTCTACTTCTTAGGTTCTCTCAAGGAAATATTTCTCTTTGTTGCCTTTAAAATAAGCAAATAAGCAGAAACAAAGGGGCAGTGGCGCAGTATCAGTCTTGATCTTACTGTACTGAACAAAAAAAGATGGCATGAATTCATCTCACCTATATAGAGACAGTGAATTGAGGAGTTCTCTTGACAGTGGAGAGAAGGAGGTGTCAAACTGCTCTTTGTGTTTGTATATGTGCATGCCTTTCTCTTCATCCATCCCAGTATTTGGGGACTAGAAGGTGATTCTACTAATTTGATTATGTTATAAGGTGAAATGAATATGGATGGAATGTCCATTAAGGTATATGGTGTCACCTAACTAGCATTAGCAGTTGAGACCAGAACCAGTTGATGAGACTTAATGTCATACCTTGTAGGGTTGCCACAACACTTCTCATCTTAAAGCCTGAGATGAACGTGATGCTGGGTGTTTCACAGGTTTATATAAATAAAAGGGAAGAAATGCTGCTGTTTTTCCCAGCTGGAGACAGAATAACTTGAAATTGCAAGCTCATTTTCTAGATGAGCAGTCTCTGTATAGCATAAATAATCAAAAGCTCGTTACCCTGTGACAAAGGACAAACATTTTCAGAAGCCTGTGGCTTATGGTTTACAACTAGAAAAGTTGGACTGATATTTAAAGAGGGTGGAAGTTAATCACTCTATCTAGTGAAGACTGAATACAGTTAGAGAGATATTTAAAAAAAAAAAGCTGTTTTCCTCTAAAGAAGTGAGACATTTAACTGTCCAGTCCATCAGCCTCTGTGTGTGTATTGTATGTTTCTCTATGGCCATTGTGGTTTTGGTGGCATGTATACTTCAGCTTAAATAATTTAAACACTAGTCTTGATGGAAAAAGTGTCTTCTCTTTAATGGGAAACTCTGTGAATGAATGTCCTCAAGCAAGAAAAAATGTTGTGTTCTCAGATGAGTTAAAATATGAAAATGTTTCACTTTGTGTGTCTCCATTTTAATTTAAAGCCGTACTTTTTTATGTAAAGAAGTTTTAGTAGCTTTAACAGCTAGTAAGAAAAATGTTGCAGTCTTTGCAAAATGTTAGCAAGAAAATGCACTTCATTAGTTCACTGGGATAGAAAAGGTTACTTAAATTTTAACTGCAGCTTAATGCTTGGTTTCACTGATGCCATCTTACAACTTTCTAAAACTGAAATTCTCCATGGAAGTGAGTGATCACTTGGATGTGAGTGGGAGCAGAAGCAAGTCATAAACTGCTGCAGAGGTACCTCATCAGGCTTTGAAACAGCACCAATGTGTGAGGAGGTGACAGTGGTTGTAACTTAAATACACGATAACCACCAGTTGGAAGGAAGTTTGGCGTTGCCTCTTTTACTGAAATAGGTTAAAAGAGAGAAATAGAACGTGTGTGTTTGGGAATAAGCTGTGTAATTCTTACAGTCGTCACCACATTGTGGGACTTTTGAGCATTAATGACTTTGATCTGTGATCTGATGTTGTTCAGAACTTAATTTTCAAATTTCAGTTTGTTTTTCCTGACTATTTTTGGTGATGTCAAACTTACAACAGCTGATTTTTTTTCTTGCTCTTGTTAAACCTCGTGCAGTTGGTGATTGCTCAGCCTTCCACTTTGTGTAGATCCCTCTGCAACCCCTCTCAGCCCTCAAGAGAATCAACAGCCACTCCCAACCTAGCAGAATGATTTAAGCTCTGTATTTTGTATCCTGAGTAATACTTCTTTAATCACTGTAATACAGACAAATTAATTTAGGAACTGGGAGTATAGGTACCGACTTCCATTGAGTGAGAATTTTCTTGTTCCCTTAGCTTTGTACTCCAGTAAGCAGGGCCACTGAGATACCCATATGCTAGATAATAATTCTTCACTGTATTCCACAGTCTCAAGAATTTTATATCTCCATGATGTATCTCCATTTATATCTCCATTGATGGAACCTGTGCACTTGGAAATGCAGCTAAAGGTGATCTTCGATCACAGAAGACTATGAAGGCAGTTGAGGGTGGAGTTACTTAATCCTGGTTCAGTGTGAATACTGTGGTCATGCAGTTGTGTAAGGATTTCACAATTTTCTACAGCTTTTTCGAAGATAGCAGGACAACTACAAGGTCAGGCTTTGCAGCTAGTTCCTTCAAGGTCCTAGGGTACTAATTAGCCAGGTATAATTAATTGTTATGTTGATGTTTTGCGTTTGCAATTGAGTTTCTTAGCTGGCATGTGGAAAAGGCTTTCACTGATAGAATGCTACAGTAACACAGCAGTTGGTTTGGCTTTTTTCTTTTTTCTTGTTTAGGTCTCTCTCTACCTGGATCACATTATTTGTGCCGTTTTCAGGATAGACTAATGTGGATATTGGTGCTGGAAAAAGGCTTCACTTACTGTGGTGTTAATATCAAGGTAACTGCATGCTTTACTTAACTTGAGATTTACTTTTGAATGTTTTAGAACCATGTAGAGATTTTGCTGTATTGCTGTTGAACACATAACTGATTTACCTGCTGTTACAGTCAGTTTTTTAAGATGAGTGTTCCATCTGCATTAACTAGTCTTGCAGCTGACATGCCAAGCAGGTGTAAAATTATTTATTTTCTGTCTTGTCATGTTTTTATTAGCTGGTAGACATTTGCATGAGGCAAATTCTTGGCTTCTTCTAAAGTCACTTATCTGTGCCTAACAGTGTAGTGATTGTCTAGTTAGATTTATAGGCAGCTCCTCTCTGAAAATACTCTGATAATGGAGCACATCTTCATTTGTTGGGAAAAATGTTGTTGTAAGAAAACAGAGGATAAGGACTGGTAAAAACTAAAACTAAATTGTTTGCATTTCTGCTGTAGGGACTGGAGCTGCAGGAAACATCTTGTCATGCTGCTGAAGCTCACAGGGTGGATGAGATTTTTGAAATGGCCTTTGAACATCAAGAGCACGCAAAGATTCTCTCTCTCAATCACCATTTTGGACACATTTTGACTCCTTGTACCGTTCTACCCGTGAGACTGTATTCTGATGCCAGAAATGTGTTATCTGGAATAATTGACTCCCATGAGAATTTAAAGCATCTAAAAGATGATTTCATTAAAGTGCTTGTATGGATGCTTGTCCAGTATTGTTATAAAAAATCAAAAGCATGGGAAACCCTGGGCAGTGCAGACAGGAACAAGAAAGGACCGTTTGCAGGAAAGCAGCACACTGGTGCAGTAGGAGCACCCAGGGCCCTGAGGGACGAAGAGAGCGTTAGCGTTGATACAGTTGAGGACTGGACTGATGATAGTGATGTTTTTGATCTCGAACCCAGGGGCAGAATGAGAGACAGAAAAGAACCTCGGCATTTGGGAATGACACCAAAAGTGCATCTGTCTATTCCAGGATCTGTAGAAACACAAAGCCAAGGTGTCCTGCAGGAAATGTTGCCAGAAGATAAATTACACAGGGCTGTTGTGCTTGGGCTTCCTGCTGTAGACAAAGGAAAACAGCAGGAAGTTTTACCTCGGGTTGAGTTTAGTTGCTCTTACTCAGAGCTACTGAGCATCCCTGAAGAATGGAGAACAGCCCCAGTGCCTCCTTCCAAAGTCCATGAAATGAGGCAGAAGTTTCCAGAAGAATGGTACCACTTTATTTTGAGTCAGCTGGACTTTTTTCACCTGAAAGACAAGCCTTCCAATTTACTTGATGACCTTATGAAAGATAAAGCTTTACAAGACTTATACGTCCATGGTGTATTGTCGTGTTGTTTTGGTCTGTTTGGACTGGATAACACGGTGCCTGCCCCGAGCCATGTGTTCAGAGCCTACACTGGTGGTATTCCTTGGTCTGTAGGCTTGGACTGGCTAACTGGCAAACCAGAGCTGTTCCAACTTGCATTAAAAGCATTCAGGTAAATGCAAAATGCTCTCTCAGATTTGAAAAATGACATAGGGAATACTGAACTTTGAAAGTCTGCAAAGATTAGTTCACTTTAAAACCATCTCATTTAAAGGTATTTGTAGCTTCTTTCTACCTAAATACTGCCTGTGTGCCAAGGCCACAAAGCCTGTAGTATGGAGTTTCCTTCTTTATTCATTCCCTGCTTGCAGCTGCCTCCAACTCTTGAAATTCGACCCATTTTCACTGTCCACATCACCTGGGAGAATTGCGATGGAGTGAAATGTTTGGCACTTCCTTTTAGCAGACAGGGTAACAGTGTTTGAGGTGAATGAAAGATGTTTCAGCTAATGTGCTTTACGTCTGGGTGAGCTAAAAGCATATGCTCACTAACTGCTAGTTACTCAGCTGTCAAGAAGTAACTGACAAAGTTAGTACTGCCTAAGAGGCTTTCTTCCTCCCCTCCTTTGCAGCAGCACTTACTGTATGTCTTTCTGTACCTTTCAGATACACTTTTAAACTCATGGTTGACAAAGCAAGCCTGGGTCCAGTTGAGAACTTCAAAGAGCTCGTTAACTATCTAGAAGAATATGAAAACGACTGGTACATCGGGCTGGTGTCAGATCTTGAGTGGCAGCAAGCAGTTCTCCAAGAAAAGCCATACCTTTTTTCTTTGGGGCATGATCGAAATATGGTAAGAAGAATCATAGCAAGCGGTGTCAAAGCTTGGTTTTCTTTTCCACTATTTTGTGGTTTGTCTGGTGTTTCGTTTGTACGTGTTTTGTGTGTGTTTTTTGGTTTTTCTTGTTTTGTTTTGTTCCAGAAGATGTAGGCTGTGCCACCAAATTGTGCTAGACAGGAGCTGACTTCACCATTGCTGAAAATAGCAAGGCATTGTTCTTCAGATGCTGTCATGTTTGCTGGTTATGTTCCAGAATGGAAGAGTTGAATCAGGAAGACTAGCTGATGCACTTTGCCATTTTAGAGAGCCAGTGCTCATAGCATGAGATGTCCCAGTGCTTCAGAGCCTCATTCAGTGCTTTGTAACTGAGGTGCTTGTGTGACTGCTTGGAGAAAATAATGAACGTTTTGATGTTTGTTTTTGAAGGGAATTTACACTGGGCGAGTCCTCACTCTCCAGGAACTGTTAGTACAAGTGGGAAAGCTTAATGATGAAGCTGTCCGAGGTCAGTGGGCAAATCTGTCCTGGGAGCTGCTGTATGCCACGAACGATGATGAAGAACGCTACAGCATCCAGGCACACCCAGTTCTTCTGAGAAACCTCACTGTGCAAGCTGCAGACCCACCTCTTGGCTACCCTGTTTATTCTTCTGAGCTTCTGCATCTGTCTTTGTTCTAGACTGTCCGTAGCACTTCTTTGTTGTTATTTTCTATTTTCCATTTGCCTGTTGGGAAAATGCTCATGCTACATTTATACGCTAGAAGTAAGACTGAGAATCGCGCTGGGTGGCAGTGCCAGACCAGTGTATGTGATTTGCACAGAAGTGGTGCTAGCCAGAACCTTCAGCAGGCAAGAAGTTCTGTTTTCTTGCTGCTGGAACATTTGAGACACCATTGCCAGTGTGGCTGACAAGCCAGGAGATGCTGAAATTCTCTTCTCCAGGTTAGAGAAGAGCAGCATGATTCTGATCATTAACTGTGGTGCGTTCTGATCTTTTTCTTTCTAATAGTTGGACAGGTGACTTGCACTGACAGGTTACAGCTCCCTGTAGAACCGTCAACCACAGAGTTGGTAACCAAAGTGTATATATGACTATTTATATGATTTTTTTTTTTTTTTTTATTCTGGCCATTTTATATTGGACTGAGTTCAGTTTTAGTACTTGTGATAATATATGATTTTGGGTGATCTTCCTTAGTTGTAGTAAGTTATCAGCTGTGCTTTTGTGAAGTCGTAAGGAGGATTTTTACCAAAGTACATGTTGTGGGGGGCAAAGACGTTCATATAAAACAGTTTGCATTCTGACACGTTAATAACCCGTATGGCCTGCTGATGAAAGTGGGCGAGTGTGGTCAGGGGACAGATGGAATTTAAGTCCAAATGCATTAATTTTATTTCCTTCTTCCAGTAAAACTGTTGTGTGCATCCTATGTCCCCATCACTAAGCCGTCTTCCACAAATGCAGTGAGTGCTGGATAACTGAGGGTGGAGCCCAGCTGTCTTTGGCAGATCTGTTGTTATGTTTTTGTTCTGGTTTGTTTTTTTTACCTTAGCAGAGCTTAAAACAATTGGCAATTGTTTTATATTATTTGAGGTCTCCTTTGAAACAGGTCTGGGTCATCTCTCCACTTTATCCTGGTCGTTACCACCAGACATTAGCACATAAATGTATTTTCTCTGTAGATCTGTAGTTATAGTGTAGTTATTGCTGGTGTAGGTTGAGCAGGATTAAATACTCGACTTTCTTCAAGCTGTAGAATCAATTTAAAGCACATCTGCTCTGTAACTGGTATGGTGTTGGTTTAGAGAACCCTGTCCTGCATAACCTGGAGCATGTGTATTACTTCTGCTCCTCACCTTTAAGATGTTTTCCTCTTGGATAAAATATGTCACGGGATTGTGTGCAATGTACGTGGTTATTAACTGTGTGTTTTCACCAGTGAAGTATGCAAACCTTGTAATGGAATTCAGAAGTGGTACCAGAACACCCATCAAACACCAAAGCGTAACTCTTCCACAGTACAGTATGAAATTCACATTGAGTATTCATGGAATCAGCTTTTTAGACAGTGGTTGTTTGGTGTGCCACAGGAGCATGAACAGCAGAGTGCTGATAATGACAAAAACCCTTGCTTGCCCTGTACCTGGAAACAGAGAGTTGTGGACACAGATCTGCTGAGGGCTTTTACACAGCACCTGCTTCAGCTCCCAGTCAAGGAGGACTATCCTGGCAAATGTTTTATCCAACTTAAAACATTTCATACCAGTTGGAAAGGTTGGGATTGTTGTTTGTTCGTTTCTTTTTTTCTTGTCCAATTTAAACCTCCCTGCCTCAGTGTACACCTCCTACTGACTTACCTTCACAGACAGTTTAATTCTTTTGTTTTCTACTTTGTCTTCTGTAAACCAAATAAACTAGTTGAGAAAAGACTGAAGAGAGCTGTGATCATTTTCTCTCGTTTCCCTGGTTCTGTCCATCTGGTACCCAGCCTTCTTGAAAAGCATTGCTGGTAACTGGTGTTACTGGCCCCGGTGTTCCAGCAGAGATCTCGATTGGTACCAGATGGAGGAATAGAATTAGTTATGTGCAGAATTCCTGTTTATGGACAGACTCCAGCATCCTGAAACATCCTGTCCCCAGCTACTGCAGGCAGCATGTCCTGCAGCCCCTCATGCATGGGTACACTGAGCCAATTCATACATTCCACTATGTTGTGTGGCAGCATGACTGATTCTTGGTAATGATTTTCTGTACCCCTCTTCAGAATCTAATTTTTGGCAGAACTGCTGGTTAAAGTCTCTTGGTCTGCACTGCAGATTGATGTGGCTCAGTGCCTCTGTTACGTGTGTTGTTTTCTGTGTGCTACTCGAACAGTCCTGTTTGGTTTGGAGCATTTCTTTGAGTTCTGAGGAATTTACAGCACCTTCAAGCCAGGTTTGTCTGCAGCTCTTGTAAGCACATATGCTACTACTCATCTGTCTGAGGGAATGATTTGGGATGCAGTATCTGGTTGCTGTGTGACCCCTGAGAACTGTTCTAGCTTTTTAACCAGGTATGCATCAGCTGTGTTATAAATTCTTATTAACACCTGCTTGCATTACAGATCGCAATATTCATCACACAAAGGTAAGCATAAGACACTGCGGCCTTGAAAAAGAATACTGAACAAGATCAGCTTTAATGTAACAAAAGTTCAGTGCTCATTAGAGGATTTTTACCCCTTCTGATTTAAGCAGGATTTTTTTAGCTCTCATACAAAAACATTAAGTCCCAGAGACAGCCTGTCTCATTTTGTTATTATGAGGCAACAGGAATCAGCTTAATGGAGTGAAATGAACCTTCTGTTCTTCCAGAGCTGCGTGAGACTCGCTTGTCATTTGATCAGTCATTTTTGTTCTAGACGGTAGATTCCTTCTGTATTAAAAGCCATGTGAAAAATGTCACTTTTGACTCTGCTACACTTAGAAAGTTTCAATAATTTATGAATGGGTTACTCTTTTATTATTGCTCAATAATATATATGAAGTAGGATTTTTATTTTTATTTTACCTAGAGAGTGTGGCTTCAGGTACATCCAAACATTACTGAGGACTTCAGCAGCAAAATGGTCACCAAGCTTGTAAACACAAAGAAATTACAGAGGTATTTCTAGTGAACAATTAAACTGAATGTTAATTTGACTGTAGAAGTTTTAAAACTGCAGTCCTCGGTTCTCCACCGCTGATGTTGGGATTTGCTTCTGCTTTGTATGAGGGTGCCTGCTCCTGGCAGGGCTGGGAGCTTTGTCTCGTGCTTGAGTCACCCACAATGCAATGCCTGCCCTAATCCAGCTCTGACACAAGCGCTGTTGTCTTGGCTGTAAGCAACCTGATGTAACAAGTTCTTTGTTAATGCCATGCCTGTGCTTGTAGCTACATGTTGTTCTGCTATAGGAACTCTTCCCTTCTTTTCATGATACTCTAGAGCATGTACCAGGCTTAGTGCAAAGCTGAGTGCCTGCTGTGACAGAGGTTACAGTCATATCATCACTTTCTTCCTTCCCCATTGCCTAAGTTTCACACTTCACCTCACCAACCAGAAACTTGAGGTCTGGGGGCTCTGCAGTTGTCCTTGGAGTCCCGAAGACAAAGTACTTCTAAATACTGATGAAATCTCCTTTTCCTAAAGGAACAATTCTCAAACACTGACTATGCTTCCTTTAACCACAAGCTTCTACCTGTGTTTTTCTTCTGCTAATGGCCCATTAAGAGTAAAAGTGAAGGAAATGGAATCCTGTGGGTATATAATTCATAGCTTGCTCACACAGTATTTGCTAGTGTCATAGCAGCAGAAAACAAAGCAATGCTTGACCTCTGTCTCAGTTGCTGTAAGTTTTTAAACATGTTTTAAACCAGGTGTATTTAAAAACTGAACTTTATTTAGCCAAGTGCGTATACAGCTTGATAGATCTGTCGAGTCATACGATGAGAAAGGTACAAGTGATAAAAAAGTTCTCATTTGCAGTCATGCAGCATGGGAAAGTTTCTCAGCTTCAGCACGAGTACAGCAGGATTCTGTACATTTCTCCTTATTTCTTCTTTCTTGAATAAGAGGCATCAGCATCCTGGAGTGAGAATACATTGTCAGCATTTCCCCTCCTTGTGCTATACTGGTGTCCTTCACTCACAGTGTTACTTTGCCAGAACCACCCTGTGACAGTGGGCAGCTGCAACTTAAAGCTTCCTGCCTTTGCAATCCATGTGCCAACGTTAGTGTTCCATTTCCTGATTTTTGAATGCTTCAACACGTTATTGCACACTAAGTTCAAGAACACAGCAAAAAGTGTACCATCTACCAAGTAGTGCTGCAAGATCAAGATACACCGTTGTATGTCTGTCTTCTGGGAAATGAATGAGAGGGAAGAGGCCTGACGCAGAGCCATACTCTTAACGTGCTTTGGGAGATGCTCTGATTACACATCTGATAGAGAAACTTGACAGAACTCCCAGAGAGTCTGTCAACAGTCTTAATTTCAAACTGCGTTAAATAATCCGTGCTGGTGACTTACAGCTCAGCCCTGCACTGCTGCTGAGTGTGAACTCGTGGCCTGCGTGACAAAGAGTAGAGGCAAGACCCTGGCACTACAAGATGTACTGACTTCACTGCTCTGCAATGTGACGGTGCTGCAGTAATTCTAGACTACCGGGCACACAGCTGTGAAGCCGAGCTGGGCATCAGCTGCCAGGGAAGTGAGGAGGAAGAAAAGAAACGGATCCAAAATTGCAATCCCAGCATTCCTGCAGCTAAAGAGTCTGTCAGCAGCATAAAAAAAGCAACAAGTGGGGGAGAGAAGAATAAACTCACCACTCCGCTCTTAAAGTTCTCTATTCTCCTCTTGCCCATTCTGTTCATCAGCCACCAGGCCCAGGTGGGCGCGTACTGCCAGAGGTAGCAGACAGCCAGGTAGGGCTGGTCGCTGATCCAGGCCTCCTTCAGGTCATTGACTGTGCTCACCAGCGTGAGCCGGACGCAGCGCTCGGTTGGCATCTTGTGGGACTGGTCACCGCTGTTCTCTAGCGACTGCAGCACAGAGAGGGCAGGAATCAGAACCAATCTGTGGTTGTGGCTGACAGAGGGAGAGAAAGGGCCGGGCTCTGTGCAGCAGGCATGCTCTTCTTAATTTCTGCACTGTGCAAATGAGGAACAACCCATCTCTCCCTGCTAATCCACTGGCTTTCTGTGTGGGAAAGCTTACTGCCTTCCTTTAGATTAAATAAAGGACCTTTTTAATTAATGCCTTATTGAATAGTTCCAAGGTTAAAAATGCCTCAAAAATCTATTCTGGTTTGGCATGAAATTACACTGAAGGAGATACATCAGGACAAATTACCCATTCTGCACCTAAAGGCTTTGAGAAATGCAAACTTTCCTGTTCCCAGCTGCCTACCCCATTATACATTCCAAGTTAATCTGTAATCAAATTAGTACGAGGACATGTCCTCCATTAACTTAAAACTTCCTGCCAGCTCTGCTCTGTGTGCAGCTATCTCAAGAGAAGAGCAATAGACTTCTTCAGTAGCAGTGATGTTTTGTTTGATGTCTTCTCCACAGGTATCCCATAGTGAAAATAAGCTGCAGCTCTGTGAATTCATACACATCTCACTCCAGCAGTCGTGGATTGCTTTATCACTTTGTTGTTCTGTTTCCCGGAGCAAAAGCTATTCTAGCTTAGATTCAGTCTTCCTCCTGGGTCTTTTGCCACACTGAAATCTAAGGAATTTGTTTTGCAACATTTCCAGATTGCTGGAAAAGTACATCTTTTCTTTCATGAAAGTATGCAGTTTTGCAAGCCAAAATTCCTTTCAGAACTTGATTTAACAATGGGAGAACTTCTTTCTCCCCCTCTTACTTGTGTGTTATCCTGAGCTTTAAATTAACTGAATTTATGACATTACCAATATAAATCACAGCAACAACTTCTGCCAGCTATTCTGCGAGACAGCCTTTATTAAAAACAACTGAGCAATTGGGAGGTTTTGCTATTTGTCCTTGAACAACCACTAACAGGAAAAGAATGCATGCCTCGCATCAGCTGACCCCAGCGGCTTTGCCAACACTTGCACCAGAGTCAGCCAAACAGAGGACCTTGTGAGTAGGGCAAACAGAAAACTACCTGTGCTGAAACAACACTGCTCTGCACTGTAGCATGGTATCTAGGAAACAGAGGCCTTTTCCCCAAGACTGGAGCAGGGCAGCTGTAGGGTTAATTTACAAGGTGTGGATTGGGTGCGTTGGAAGAGAGGACAACAACTCTACAACTTTATTTTCATTTTATATGGACCTAATACCACAAAGCATTACATGACAACACGTGGCTTTGCATTAACCAAAGCATTTCTTGGTAAGAAAAGGGAGGTTGGTGTTTGCTAGGGGAAGCAAGAGAAAACAAAATCACAAAAGGTTCACATTTGCCTGTAGCAAAAGTTGGATTTACTGTAATAGAATTTCGAGTCCTTACCTTGTCAAGTTTCTCCGTAAAGACATTTTGTATGATCTTAGACTGCACAGGTCCTGGGCATATGTTGATAATGCTTATCTCAGGGTAGTCTGTCAGCTCCGTCCGAAGAGAATTAAAAAAACCCTGGAAGAGAAGACTGTCGTGTGACTACATTTTAAAGATCAATTTCTGCAATCCCTACTATTTTGACTATTGTCCTATCCAGCTTGGGAAGAGGGCTGTCTGGCCCAAGCTCTTATCCAAAATGCGCTGCAGGAGAAATGTCAATCAGATGTTCTCCTGTGGTGACACCAACACAACAACTGGAGCAATGCACTAAGGACAGGCAACAAGTTGCACACCCATGCACGCTTACAACCAAGACCTGTCCACATATGCTCTGATTTCCCAATCACTGGTGGCTGATTCCAGCTCACAGATTGCACATAGGCT